GGATTAGTTTTGTACTCTGGTTCTGTACTCGGATAGCCATCGTAGCCCTTAGACCATTCAACTAAAAATTATTAAGATTAAACTAACTACACAAAATAAAAATAAAGACATAGTTTCTAAAACTAATTTATTGTCAACCGTTCATTTAGTTCTAGTATTATAAAAAACAAATCAGCTGCTATAATAACGACTTTTTAATCATCTACCGGTTTGTCTATAGACAGTAAAATATTTTCTACTATATAAAACATGGGTTGACTGGTAGGGAATGCCTCAAGGCATTAAGTCCGCCCTTTGTATTCTTTTGTTTAAGGATGCAATAAAGAATAAAATAAATAAAAATTTATGTTTGTTCGTACTTTCTACGATGCCATACCGTTCATCAGGTTGCGGTGAAACTTAGTCAACTTATTGGTTGCACTTGTGCGAAGGTTATACTCATGGTACAATTAACTGAAAGTAGGTGACGTGCGTATTATATCGACTATTTATTTGAAAGTTATAGAAAGTTACATATCATTCTAATTCAATGATCGTGTTATCATTCCTAATTATACAATATAACTGTTCCACATTTTTAACGATATTTCCATAATTATTTCTTCTGCGGCAGCAATGTGCCGGATACGAGCTAGCAAGATAATATAAAAAAATATAAACTTTGAATTACATAGTTATCAGTAATTTACAACGTCATTTTCGTATTATTATATTGAATATAATATTGAAAAAAAAAACAATTGAAATTATCGTAAAGTCCTACTTTCTGTGGTATCGTCCTAAGAATGCTGGCTACGTGTCCTCACTGAATGGCTATACTCGGCCTTCAAGCGAGGAAACAACAAACTAAACAACTTCTTATTACCAGCAGCGATGATCAGTCGCAGATACAGTTTTTTAGGAACTACACTGCACGTGCACCCTACGAACCAATAGTCTTATCTTCCAGATACTCTGGACTATTTACTTGCTACCCCTGCTTTAGACGAGGTACCCCTAAGATGGGATGCTGTCAAAGTGTTCGCAAGTAGTATCCCACACTAAAGCTTTATCTCTCTCTCTCAAGCAACCAAACCCATACCGTTGGGTCTCTTGGTATCGTCTCTAAATATTCTACAAAGATCTTAAATCGAGGAAACATTTATAGAGTTACGAGCTGCAATACGGACTCCCCGAGCCCGATATGTGAATGGAGCCAGGGCAAAATGAGCACTTGGAAACATCAAGTGGTGCAGCCTCACCAAAGTCATGAAAGTAGGTACGGAATCTCTGCATGGTTCTTTCTTCAAAGGACCATATTAGCCACCTGCCTGGTTCTCGTTTGACATGACCAATGTACTGGACTGACCTCTCAGAGTTTGTTTCGGCAGATCGGGTGTTTCTTCTCAGTTTCATGTTTTTGTTGTGTTAAAGTGTTTTAAAATTATTATTGTTCTTAGATTACTTACATAAATTACATTAGGTATATTAGGATATGAGGCTCCTATACGTAAGCACGATTATCGAAAATCTAAAAATTACCATTACAATCGATAATTGAGATGTTGTCGTTAGTTGGCAAATTAAAGTAGTTAAGTACCTAATGTACTACCTTTATCGAAAGTTCATTATCATGTACCTGCCTGTTTTCAATTTTAACTATCATACATGTGCTTCAACAAACTTATGGGTACATTTTACCAGCTATATTCATCCCGGCTTCAGCCTTCAGCAAGTGGACACGAACAAAAGGAAGCAATTATTCTAAATAAAGATGTAGATATGTAGGTATTACAACCATAAATAGATAGCAGCGGCTAACCTAGTGAGCATGTGTGAGTGCGCGCTGCGCCCCCCTCCGTCCGTCCCACTGATCGGGGAAACAATTTGTAGCGAAAGGCAAGATGTTTTATAACAAAAACGGGCGCGCGAAATTTTATAAACAGACCTTTGGTAGTCTGGATGTCATGAAAAATCTATTGAATGTATCTGTTTAAAATAAAATTATTTGAATTTTTGAATAACTAATCTATCCCTGTATGGTAATTGTTTTGCAATTTTCGTTCTTCTTATGGTATTTATTTCCGCCCAAAGATGTGTTAAAATAGTGTGGAAATTCGGAATTTTCGACGCTTATTACTTTTGAACATAATCTTTTTCTACTTTTTTGTTTCCATACAGGGCTAGATAATGATAAGACAAATTGAAATCATTTTTTATTTTGTACCTACACCATCAAACAGTGGAGTTATCGCCAGACTACGTTTGTATGGAAGAACGAGCGACTAGTGTACCCTTAAGTTGAATAAATGTACTGATATTTATTATTGTCATAACTATTATTGTATTTGTGTGCTGTTTTTTAATAAATCCTGTAAATATAATGTTAGTTTTATTTATTTTGATTTTAATTATTAATATCTGTGATGAGAACAAGTATATATATGTGCTATATATATTATATATATATATATATATATATATATATATATATATATACGGCATGTGTGTATATATAAGCTTATATTTATAGATATTACAATAAAATTGCTAACTATGGATACTAGAGGCGCTAGTTATGCATTGCCATTTTATAGGTCGAAGATTGGTCTCTATTTCAGTTTGTACAAAGGTACTCTGTGGTTGCTGGTTGTTAATTGTTATTTTATCGCATTCTTTTCGAATGGACACACGTGTGCCTGTGTGCCGTCCTGTTTGTCAGACTTACTCAGTTTATAGTAAAAAGAAAAACATTCAAAATACAAAAACTGAAACCCAACCGAAATTGACGGATTTTTTAAGTGTAAATAAGTTCTAAATAAAATATAATTACATAGTGCATGAGTTTTTGTTTTGTTTTCGTAAGCATCTTGATAACTACCCTTATAAAGTACTTATACGTCGAAATCTAATGAACGTAACATATACAAAAAATACACACTATTAAAAATATATATTATGTACATAATATATATTGTGCATATTATTCACCTAATTTTATCATTCATATTTACTACATTCGTACTTGCTGTGACTTGTTATTGCTGCGTACCTCTTTAAGAGAGAAACGCTACCCATGTACCTGCATTAGCGAGAAACTCGGGTTAGTGAGAAACCTCTGTAAGCGAGAATGAGATTGTGCTCCCTTGAACTCTCGCTTATCCAGGTTTGACTGTATATGCATCTATTTTCTTATTGAAAAAAAAAAGATATATAATAAATTTTTCTCCATACAAATTTAAGAACCTTATGGCTCTCCGTAACTGATTTTTTAGTTTTTGTTTTATTGCAGTGGGTGACAAACGAGCACACAGTCCACCTGGTGGTAAGTGAATGCTGTGGCCCATAGACATCCTTTATCTTTAATTAAGAATCAAAATGCAAATGCATTGTCACCCCCGAGGACTATGATGGAATGCCTCGATTCCCGTAAAAAGGGTCTCCAGTTCTCTACACTCACATTCGTGCTAGAACTATAATGTAGCCGCAGAGTGGTTTTACTACGTACAAATATTTAAAAAAAATATCAAGAGTACTTTCATTATGTCTCAAGTTAATCAACATTTAAGTTTCATAAAACTGTAATATGCTATTTTCCCTTATGACCGTTACCGTCCCTACCAACTACAGTCTAATGCTGAACATAGGCTCCCCCATTAATTATCTCATAGGTGGGATATTTGGCACAGTTGCTACGCTTGGCAAATGGGTTTTTATTTTTACGTTGTGTGATTTGTACAAAAGATATTTTTTTACTGCATTTGCATCGGACAAGTTCGAAGGAAAAGTCGTTATTGTTGATACGATTAGATCTAATATGTTACGTAGAGTTTTTAAGATTAAAAATGTTTAAGATTAAAAAGAAGTAAATAGTATAATGTTATTAAGAATTAGTTACACGCGTAGGACCGCTGTGTCATATTTGGAGTTATACTTTGGCGCAGGCAAACACCTGCATATGGCTACTCCCGTTCCGTCTGCGGCACGTGTTGCTTATGTCACCATATGACCAAATAACAGTAACAACAACAATTTAAGTAATCTATCGTAGATCGACATGCCTTATATTCACTACACTTATCACTTGCTTCCTTAATAACCACAGCTTTTCTTTAATGATTTTATACTGATCCTTTTTTATTGACCTGTGCTTCTTTAATAGGCATCGAGAATCCAGCCTACACGACCGACCCCGACCAAGTATTGACATCATGGGCCATTGTTTTAATTGTAATGCACTTATAGTAGGTATGTGAATTTGTAAATATAATTGTATATTTAAGTTACTATAGTGAAAATCGACTGTTACAGTGCAAGTAATACATAACTTCACTTTTACTTATTCTACGATAACTCAGCTCCTACATTGACAAATTTCACCAGATTTTTACATATGAATTGTTTATAAATAAGCTTTCGAGTGGTCCCTAATTTCATCTTGTTAACATCTTGGCCCAACAATGTATGGAAACGTCCTCTACTTCTTTGTGTGAATTATTTGCCATTAAACAAGCATTTTTTTATAAACATTATTAAAATTTCCTGTCTAGTGTTTTGCTATTGTAAAGATTATCATTTTTTTCTCTGGAGTGTAAGTACACAAAACACAGATATCGTCGTTCATTCTAACATACCCATATCTGATTGTAATGCTTACGCTATAAGATCAATTGTGTCGGTCGATAGCTTTGACAAGATTCTAATCTTGGACCTAAAACGCAAAGGCTTGACCATTCTTCGATCAATAATACTAATAAAAATAAAAAAACACCTGTACATATATTTACTTATTTATTTATAGCTTAATATTACAACGAATCATTGTATTTTAAGTAATATTTTCAAATAAGTCAGTCTTATTATTTAAAACAATATATCTAATATCACAACATTTTTTTAACAATAATATGTTTAAAACTAATATATGACTACTTATGTATAAAGACTTCAATTCACGTTTTTTTTTCGTACGGCAATATTTTAATTGACATAATTATAATCCAATATTTTTATCTGTGGTGATGATAGGCCGTCATATTCCTTATTCTTCATTTGACGCATGGAGGTTAGAGAACAAAAGAACCATGGAGGTTAGTATGAACGTAAATGTACGTACTTACATCTAAACCAGTGTACATCTAAACCATTTGCACATCCACGCACAATACAATATTTCACCATTTTTAATGTTTCTTGTTGTCAAAAATTAAACAATTACGGAGAACAATTATTTTCTCGCCAATGCCGCGAAGTAAATTTTTACATTATTCAACTAACTTCATCTACGTGTTCTCATAAACAGCTAACTTAGCAGAGACTACTTACCGACGGCAGTTCAGGGATAGGCAGGCTATGCTTTAGCACGTAGCGCTCGTTCTTCTCTCTAACCTCCATGGTATTCACCAGACGATCGCGAAGTGTCAGAAAACAATTTAGAATCTGAATAAGAGACTACAAATAAGTACCGCAAAACTTTAAAGGTTCTTAGAAAACTTAGATAAACCTAACGATGGACCTTTACCACCTACACCCGATCCACCTAACAGCTCAGCACTTGATATTCAACCTTCTGTTAAATGTCAACCTAAAACATCAAGTGACCGCCCTAGACAAGTAACAAGAGCCCAAGATTTATCCAATTCCTCTGGTGCGCAGCAGATTTCAAGGGCAGAATTACCACTAGATAATATTCATTCCGATAGTCCAGCATCCCTTCAATTTCTACCTTCTGATCTTCACACTGGATAATCAGAAACTGGAATAGAAAAAGGCCTAGGATTCAAAGTTGTGAACATGTTGATAGAGAAACTGATAGATAAAGCGTGGAAGGAATTTCATGTCATTGTGACACTGATAATTTCTTCTGAGACTACAGTAGATATAATACAATAGCTTTATGACAATAGCACCTTTACTACAGAAACCGTACGCAGACACAGTTAAGAGCAGCTCAAACTAGTAAAATATAACCTGAAGCTTCAAAAAGAACAGTATAAATGGAGAGTCAAGGGCAACGCATCTTGCCTGATTTGAAAGAACTAGATGTCCTGATTAGTAAGAGTAATACATTGCATCCTAAGCCTAACAAGACTACTGTTTTACGGACTCAAAAAATGGCACCAAAAAAACCATTGACTGACCTTTAGCCATAAAGGAATATCCGAAAAAATGGGAGGGTTAGATCACTTCGTCCAGCTAAAAGGTACCTACACAGTTGGCAGACGGAATAAGAAATGGTGGGTCCGCATATTCCACGTTCTTTTAGACAAAAGTTTATCAAATGCATACTTATTATATTGCCAAAATATAAATGTGATGAAACTCATTAATCTTGAATTCCAAGTATCTGTTGCTAGAGGACTGTTCAGTGGATTCTCTAACAAAAACAAACTTTTTTTGGTCTGGTAAACTACGTCTCCAGAAAAACACCTGCCTATCGCAGAACCGCCAAAGTACTACTTGCATGTTATTGCCGAGGAAATTCGCTAAAACAACGTTGGGAACCATATGCCTGCTTAATTGCTGAGCTATAAACGCTGCAGAATGTGCAAGACTAAAGAAAAGGGCAAAACGTCAAAAATAATGTGCTCAAGGTGTAGAGTTGTCCTTTGCATATTACCATGCTTTACTGCGTTTCTCAAGCAATAACTAATACCACACTAATCCGCTTCATACGTATCACGGGCAGAGGGAGCAGACTTCCCATCATGTTTTTTAATAATTATAATAATTTTGTAAGAAATCATAATAGTAAAACTAGTATCAAACCATAATGACTTTTATTTTTCCGCCCCTAGATGCCTATGCCTTAAGGGTTAATAAAACTAGATGCAATAAAAAAAAGCAGTTGCCAGCCCGCCTACCAATCGTGGCAACTATAGCAAATAACAAAAAAATCTTGGGTTATTATTATATCATAACTAGCAATGTATTAAACAAATTAATACCTGCAATTCCCCTGGTGTTGCGGTTGATCATGGGCGGCGGAAATATTTAACATTGCATAAAAATATTCGCACGCTATGTAAAATAAGCAAAACATGAGCACTCGTTTTTACATGTTAGCAACATTTATACCATCTTTAACGCAAATAGATTATTATTATTATTTTGGGGTATTAATAGTTATTATTATTATTTTTACAATTATAAGTATCATGTTTAAACAAGAGCGGTCTAATAAATAGGTCAAAGAATAAGAAAATATGCAAACTTAAATATCATCCATCCGTTGCAGCCTATAAAAGTCGCCAGCTAAACACAAGCCTCCACCATAAATTGCCTCATAGAGGGGGAAAGGGCGAGGGACTTATCCATAACTTCCACGATTGGCAAGCGGGATGGGAACTGAAGTATTTATTTTGAGTTTTTATTAAGAAGATGGTGCTGACCATCTCTCGGTTTGTTTCCCTCTGTCGATGTCTGAAAAGTTGAAACACCACACGTCGCCGTAACACGAAGTATCTCATATCTCTTACTTCATGTGCTAAGTCTACTCTTAAGTTTCTCGAGTTCCGATTTCAATCGTTGATTTTCTATCAGTAAATTCGCTTGTTGCAAATTCATACTGTGCGCAGAATCGATTTCTTGTTCCAACTTCTTTCTTTTGGCTATGTAGTATTCGGCTATTGCGTTATTTCTTGCTGTGCGCGCTTTGATGTCCTCCTCCAGAAGCTTTTTCTTGTGCCGTATTCTTACTATAATTAAAGTCGATTATTACTTTGTGATGAAAATTGGCATACAACTATTAATATAAACAGGGTGATTATACTCCATGTCTGCCTAGTATTAAATTCCTTACAAGCTTAGCGGCATGGAGAGGCAGGTTAATTACAAGCTTTTTTTTTAAATAGAATAAGGGTGGGGAATACGAGCACACAGTCCACCTGACCGGTAAGTGGATGCTGTGGCCCATAGGACATCTACATTTATCCTCGATTAAGAATCAAAACGCAGATGCGTTGTCACCCCTGAGGATTAAGATGGAATGTCTCGTTTCCAGTAAAAAAGGGTCTCCGGTTCTCTACACTAACCATATAAAACACAACAGCGTTAATCTGCTATTTTACGCTGGTACTCTGTGAGAGCGTGGTCCTTTCCCGGTCCGGCCGACCCATTCGAGCTACAACCATAATTTAGCTCCAGCGTGGCTCTATTACGTATAAAATGTTTTATACGTAATAGAGCCACGTACAAAACCTCCACACACATGGAGTTCGGGTGATCGATTTTTTCAGTTTTATAGACACGGTACCATTTTGTAACCCAAATTTTAAATGCTACAAAAGTAGATTTTTTGCACAACTCGGACAAATTTCTATTACGACAATAATTGGGTTGTTGATACCATCATTAATAATAGTAAGTATTCGGCCATATAATTTGAATTTAAAATTATTACTTACTAGTGTGTCAAACCTTGATAGGTCTTATTTAATTAAAATATTCTTTTTATGAGTTTTTTTAAAATACTGGCCGGATCTAGACACATTTCATTTATAGCCAGCTTTCAAATAAAAAGAATCATCAAAATCAGTTCACCTCGAAAAAAGTTCAGAGGAAACACACAAAAATAATAGTAGAATTAAGGATCTCCTCATTTTTTGAAGTCGGTTGAAAAATCTGCGGTTGGCAAGCGACTGGCAATATGTGGGGGTCAATGTTCAAAAGTGGACTTTTATAGGCTGTAATGAATGAAATTGATGGGTGTTGTAGGAGGCGACGGAGAGTAATGAAACGGCAGAGTCTAAAGGTGGGCTTATACGGGCAACTAAAATTGCTCAATTCCAGTCAATACTCGTCAACTATGACGTCACGACTACTTCAAGCAATTTACGGCAACGGCAACAAGCATCAATACTGCGCAATACAATATTGAGCGATATGGCGCAACTTCATCAACTAGGCAATACTGTCCTACACGAGCATTTCAGTATTCGCTCGCTATGGACGACATTGTTCTTGCTGCGGCGGCTTGTAGCGCTTTTTTTATTATTAATCAAAAACAAAAAAGAAAGAAAAGGAATAAGCGTATATGGGTGCGATCGTTTTTGGCAAAGAGGCCGCAATTTTCATTGTGTAAAGAATTAGATGATATATTATTCAAAAACTTTACTAGAATGTCACGAACAGACCCGACCTCTCGCTCTCCCCGCGGAAGCAAGACGGCAAGCCGCAAAACAAACAAGTGCGAATGAGATATATAGAAAAATTGCTAGGAATTTCCAAGCCCATTGGATATTCGTCAATTCGTATCTGCGACATTGAGCGATATAAAATATCTGGAGCAATTTGAAGAATATCGCCGAAATAAGTGCCGCAATTGCTTTGATTTGAACATTGCTCCAGTTCGGTCCATTCGTGTCGCCGAGCAATTATTGCCCTCGTGTAAGCGCACCTTAAGAAACACTTACGATAATAACATAAAAATAAACTGCGGTTGCCTAGCGCATTAAGTGTGGCAACTATGGTAAATATCCTGCTTATAAGGCGATCTATATGGGAAGGCCAATATTGAACGGCGTCCTTTTAATAAGTTGAAATAAATGATCGATGATGGTGACAACTACCCAGTACTCTTAGCGCCTACAACACAGCAATATTAAAATCGGACATGCTACAAAGAAAGAAAAAAATCTTTAAAAAAAGGAGGAGAGGGGGGTATTTGTAAGTCATTTGTACCTGTGCCATCGTCGAATGTAGACGTGTTCAGCAACAGTGGCCGCTGGCGTGGCACTTGAGCGATCGGCCTCGAGTTCGGAGTTACGGACCTCTTAGTACTCTGGTCTTCGTCACAAGTTCGCCGTTCTATGGATTAGTGTGGTTGTTGACAATTAGAGATAGGAATTTCTTTTTTATTGTGCAGTAAACTTGGGTCATGTTATGCGGAAATTCTTGTACTGCTTATAAGGATTTTTAGACAATACAGATGAAATAAAGTTAAGCTATATATTATAGTGGTTAGATTCTTTAATTACATAATTCAAATTTTATTTATAATAAAAAAGTTAAATCCGTAATTTTTATCATAGAATAAGGGTGTCAAACGAGCGCACAGTCCACCTGATGCTGATAGATATCTACATTTATCCTCGGTTAAGAATCAAAACGCAGATGCGTTGTCACCCCTGAGGACTAAAATGGAATTTATTGTTTCCAGTAAAAAAGGGTCTCCGGATTTCTACACTCACCATACGAAACACAGCAGTATTAATTTGCTATTTTACGCTGGTATTCTGTGAGAGCGTGGTCTTTCACCGGTCGAGCCGACCCATTCGTGCTACAACCATAATAAAGCTGCAGCGTGGCTCTACCGCATATAAAGTAATTGTTAGTATATAAAACTGACACAATATAGGAATTATTTATTAGTTATTCCCACACTGGCTAATAAGTAAGTTGCAGTTACTTATAAGCCAGAGGGCAAATTAGTTTCATATAGGTGGTATGTGGTGGCTGTGAGTGTGCTCGATTGGTGAAGAATTAGGTTCGCACAGAATATCAACGTGAAATAGCAGCAAAAGGCTAGTGTATTTCATAAGGCGAGTGAAGAGGTGACCGTGTAGGAAGGCGTATCTCGCCTGAGGGGGTGAAGATGAGGAGTTGTCCTCTCCCGAGGAGGGGTCGTCATGGGACGACGAGAGCTGGTGGGGTTGCAGAAGTGTGCGAAGGCGTACCCGTGGCCCCGCCCATATGCGGCGAAGGTTGAACACCATGTGGTTTGGTCGATGCGAGTCCGACTTATCCAGAGCCCGCGAATAGGATATGCGCAGGCATTTTCCCAAATCACAGAAACTTCTCGACACCCATATAAAATAGTCAAGTCAATAATTGTCTCCGTCAACTATTGCTCACCTGCACTTTCCTCTTCCAAATCATTCTCTATGACTGGGAAAGAGAATGCGGCGTCGTCGTAAATCTCTGGCTGTTGCTCCGATGTGGGCGTAGAACTTACAAAAGACTGCTGCAGATTACCCCTCAATGGGTCAAGCTGTTCTATAAGAAAAATAGAAATACACTAAAGCGATTCAAACACTAAGCAGATGCGATAAGATATCTGTGTGCATATCTTTCAATATTGCTCTCTATGATATTCAATAAAAGGAAACTAACAGTGTAGATAATCTATATTTTATCGTTAAGTATCTCTAAAGATCAAGCTATATCAAAAGATTATTTATTAGAACAATATTATCTACTCATATAAATATATTTGTATCTACATATCTATACTATGTATCTACAGATACCATCTGCAGATACAAACATGGCACAGGATTTTACCTGCAGATAAATACGGAATGGTTGCTGATAACATGAGATTAAATTCGCCTCCGTCCTCTTGGAGCTTTATATATATATATATATATATATATATATATATATATATATATATATATATATTATTATAGAAGACGCAGCAAACGAGCATAAGGTTGACCTGATGTTAAGTGACTTCCGCCGCCCATGAACATCCGCAACACCAGGGGAATTGCAGGTGCGTTGCCGGCCCTTTAGAAAAGAGTAAGCTTTTTTCTTGAAGGTCCCCAGGTCGTATCGTTCCGGAAAAATCGCAGGTGTTTGGATCGTGCGGAAAAACTCTTTGGAAACCATGGTGTGTGGATGGCATCGAGAGGTTTGCCGCGTAGTGCGTTCATGAAATTTGGCGGTTGGGATTAATCCGAACAATTCCTCAGAGCACTCCCCGTGATAGATGCGATAAAATACGCAAAGAGATGCAACATCTCTTCGCAGCGGCAGTGAATCGAGCCGATCGGAAAGCACTCGGTCGTCTACGTTTCGAGCCGCTCTGCGCTGGATGCAGTCAAGTGGAAGGAGCTGGAACTGGGGTGCTTCAGCCCAGAGATGGGAACAGTATTCCACGTGCGGACTTGTAAAGTTGCAGGCGGTGTGCCGGCATGAAATACTATCCCGTTCTGCTGAGCACGCCAAGCTTTTTAGAGGCCAATTTGGCCTTCTCTTCCAAGTGACTACGAAACTGCACGTCACTCGATATATCGACGCCGAGGATTCCGATTTCCGATACTAGCTGAGGCAACAAGGGGAGTGTCTTGAAACTGAGGAGATACGACAAAAGGGTTCTTTTAAGCGGTCAACGCGCAAACTTGTGTCTTCTGAGGGTTAAACTGGACTAGATTTAGTCGCCCCCAATCCGAGACTTTGTTCAGCAAAGACTCGACTTCAGACACAAGTTTGTCCCGGTACTCGGAGACGTTTCCTTATAAGAATATTGGCACGGCCGATGTACAGAGCATCGCCAGTGCTGTCATCTGCATAGCAATGAATCTTACGGGTTTGCAACATATCATTGATATGCAGAAGAAACAGCGTTGGCGATAGCATGCAGCCTTGTGGAACTCCAGCATTAATAGGCTTGTAATCGGAGCTTGCACCGTCTACAACGACCATGATGCTCTGATCTGCAAGAAAGCTGGTGATCCAATTGCACAATTTCTCGGAAAGCCCATAGGAAGGGAGCTTCGAAAGAAGCGCTTTGTGCCAAACCCGATCGAAGATTTTCGCAACGACCAAACTAACGGCCAATGCGTCTCCTTAGACTCTACTGCCACCGCCCATCTATGAGTCTATGAGTCCTGAAGATCACCAGATGATCGACCATGACGAAAACCGTATTGGTGATCACTAATCAGCTGGTGATCCTCAAGGTACCTTATGAGCTGACAATTTACAATGGACTCCATTGTTTTGGAGAACAAGGAGGTGATGGCGATGGGCCTGTAGTTGGACGGGTCTGAGTGGTCGCCTTTTTTAGGGATCGGGTGAACGAAAGTCTTCTTCCATGATTTTGGGACTGCGCCTAGGGAGTAGGAGTACCGGAAAAGACGCGTTAAAACCGGTGCCAACTCTGTAGCACACGTCCTCAGCACAATTGGGGGGATACCGTCAGGCCCACTCGACTTGTAGATGTCCAAGGAGAGGAGTGCTTTGCGAACCGAGCGCTGTGTGAATCGCACCTCCGGCATGGAGCACTCACACCACGTGGGATGGTCGGCGGCGTTCTCCCCCGTCATCAAGAGTAGAGTTGGACGCAAAGAAAGAGCCTAGCCGATCGGCTTTCTCCTTTGTGGCATGGGCCAGTGAGTTATCCTCTCTGTGCAGAGATGGAAGAGATGGCTGACAGAAATTACCCTGGACAGCCTTGGCGAGAGACCAGAATGCACGGGTTCCAGAAGGAAGGCGAACTAGTTTCTCGCCAATTCTGCCTATGTACTCTGACTTTGTCTTGGCAATGACTCTTTTGAAGGACCTGGAGGCGGAATTATACTTTTTTTTAGAGCGCTGGTGTTTACATCCCGGGACGCTGATGCGTCAGCTCAGGCTTTGTAGCACTCTTGCCTATAGGATGAAGCTATTTTACAGGAGCGACCAAACCATGGCTGAGATTTGCCTCCGATGAGCACCACAGAGGAAGGAATAAAAATTTCCATAGCCTGAAGTACCACATCATTGACAGAATCAGCAACAACGTTGGGATTGTCCGGCGAGAAGCAAACCCGGCCCCAAGGGTAGGATGCAAAGAAAGACCGCATCCCATCCCAATCAGCTGACCTATAATGCCAAACACAGTAGCAGCCTGCAGAATGCAACCGCGATTTCAGCGTGAGTGGCACCACACTCCGGAAAAGACAATGGTCCGAAGAGCCTAAATGGGCAACGACGGAATTCTGATATCAGTCCGGATGAGAGGTCAGCAGAAGGTCCAACAGGGAAGTTGCATGATCCTCTACATCTGGAATCCGCGTAGGCGAAGTAACCAGTTGTGTCAGACCATATGCCAAGGCAAAATCATGAACAGATCTCCCCGCATGACCGGTTGAACGTGAACCAAGCCATTCGGCATGGTGGGTGTTAAAATCGCCGAGGATCACGATCTCTGCGGAGGGGATCCGCTGTAGCAACGAATCTGTAGCCATTTGGACGTGGTCGAAGTGTCGGTCTGTTTCGGCATTTCCGTTATGGGACCTATAGAGGCACCCGTAGACGCGCGGATGGTCGTCGCTGTCTACGCGTAGCCAAAGGATCGACAGGTCCGAACCTTCAAGACTGCCGAGGCGTCGAGAACAGATGTCCTCCCTGATGTATGCGCAAACTCCAGCTCGAGACACAAAGGATTGTTCTAGTTTGTACCCCGGGTAGGAGAGATAAGAAGCATCAGCCAGAGGGGACACCTGCGTCTTGGTGAGAAAGAGCAGAGCCGGCCGCGCCGTCTCGAGATGGTAGTGGACGGCGTTTAGGTTAGAATGAAGTCCCCAGATATTGCCGAAATTCACAAATTCACATTCATCGTTCTTGGTCTTGTTGCTCAGTTTGCCCCGAGCGGTTATTGTCTTGAGCGGAATTTTGCCCTCCCCCCTCCCCAGAATACGCGGGGCAGCCTAAGCACCCACGCTCAGGAGTGGAGTAACTTTGTCGTGGATGCTCAGCGAGAGATTCTCCAGGGGTGCTGGTACCCTCCTGGGGTAGATCATCACTTAATACCGCAACCATGTTAAGGGGGGAGGGGGAATTGGGCCTCCGGCCACCTACACTCACCAGACGAAACGTGGAAGCAGAGCTTGCACTTCACGCTGGTATTCTGGGAGGTTGTGGTACCATCCCGGTTTGAGCCAGCCCATACGTGCAACAGCAAAACTGCCGCGTGGCTCTACCACTGTTAAAAGTGTGACATTCTATCCAAATTTTTTGCTTTTTAGTAAATGCTAATGCGAAACATGAATCAAAATTTGAATCCCATTCTGACGAGTTGTCTAGCAAATCTAGAAGCAATATAAGCCAACTCATTGTGGATAAAACTCTGTAAAAACAGTTCCAAAAAAAAAAGTCTAGTAAAATTGAAGGATTTCGAGCGAATGTATCATTTTGTATATTATTGTACCTGCGTAATGTGTGAATACTTTTAGATAGTAAAATTTTTATATGCAGATAAAATATTATCATATCTGTGTAGTTTGTGATTCGCTTAACCCTTTATTAACAAAAATGTAAAAATTTTACAACCAGGAATAGAGGCAACTAACTTGAGCTCTGTTTTTAATATTAGGCTGCACTAAAAGTATCGGGAATGGAATATTTCCACTGTTCCTGTCATATTAAAATCTTTTTAATTGAAAATTCCTTGGTTTTAAAAATCGAATACCATTTATTTATTTAAAAAAGATTCTCGGTCTTGTCACAAGGTTTTGTCACACTTGTTTATTCATTGAGAATGAGAAAATGGAATTGACTCGAGAAAATTCAAGAGCGATGATTTATTATGACTTTCGAAGTGGTTTAACACAAAAACAGTGTGTTGACTGGATGATTTCTGCATTTGGTAATGAAGCCCCATCCAAAACCACAATTTATCGCTGGTTTGCTGAATTTCAACGTGGACGTGTCAAGCTCAGTGATGATCCCCGTCAAGGTCGTTCAAAAACTGCAGTCACCCAAGAAAACGATGATGCTGTGCGTAAGCTGATTGAGGAAGATCGACATGTGACATACCGCGAAATTCAATATGAGTCAAATACAAATAATCTTGCATGAACAATTAGGTGTAAAAAAGATGTTTTTCCGATGGATACCGCATTAGCTCTGTGAAGAGCAAAAAGCGGCTCGCGTTACTTGGTTCGTCAGAACTCTCGAAAGATTCCACGCAGGATCCTCAAATGCTGTATACAACATCGTATCAGGTGACGAATCCTGGATATACGCGTACGAACCCGAAACAAAAAACCAGTCACTAGTTTGGGTGTTCGAAAATGAGTTAAAGCCAAAAAAATTGTTCGTTCACGGAGTGTTACAAAAAAATGGCGGCCACGTTTGTCTCCAAAACCGGCCTTGTTACGACTATTCCTCTTGAGGGACAAAGAATGGTTAATGCAGAATGGTATTCTAGCATTTGTTTGCCACAGGTCGTTTCTGAACTCCGTAAAGAGAACTGCAACCGCCGCATCATCCTCCATCACGACAATGCGAGTTCTCACACCGCACACAGAACAAAAGAGTTTTTAGAGCAAGAAAACATAGAATTATTAGACCATCCGCCGTACAGCCACGACCTAAGCCCTAATGATTTCTATACTTTCCCTAAAATAAAAAATAAATTGTGTGGACAGAGATTTTCATCACCTGAAGAAGCTGTGGAAGCCTACAAAACGGCTATTTTGGAGACCCCAAATTCCGAATGGAATGGTTGCTTCCGTGATTGGGTCCATTGTATGGAAAAAGGTGTCAAATTTCGCGGAGAATACTTCGAAAAGCAATAAATACATTTTTAAATATTAATGTTGTGTCACTTCCTTGATTCCCGAAATTTTCAGTGCCGCCCTCGTACCAAACCATAACATACATTGAATTATAATTTACACTAGTCTAAGAGTATTTTTGGTAGTAAAGTTATTACTTATTATATGTTTTGTTCTTTTTTGCACACACACACACACACACACACACACACACAAATATACAAAGTCCACATGGTGATAAGTGGATTCTGTGGTCCATAGACATCTTCATATACTAGACAAAGAATCAAAATGCTGATGCCTTATCACTTCTGAGAATTAAGATGGAATGAATGGTTTCCAGAAAAATTCTAAAGAATTCTGCACTCACATTAATATATTGTTTAAAAATATCAGGGCCAAAATGGAGTGTTTCTTGAATATTAGGAACCAACACTAGCTTACCAGTAGACACAGAAAATAGTTTAAACAGGTTAATTGATTGAAGGGATTTACGCAGGACATAATAACATAAAAAATAATATATAAGTAATTGCAACATGTTAAGTAAGTTTTTCGTGGATATTCTAGTAGAGAGCACATAAAGACACCATGATTGTGACCCTTATATCCCTACTGGATAGGAGGCATTCCATCCAAGTCCTCAGGGGTAAGAGTGTACCTTAATTTTGATTCCTAATTATAGACATCACATTAATCTATAAAATAAAATAAATCAATTCCAAACCAATCACCTGAGTCACCTCCAAACTGCACAGTAAAACCATCACATGTTGTAACTAAGATGGATATGACACGGTTAAGAATATCATCTTGCGTCGATAACTTCTGTTTATCACCAGCAAGCTGTGAAATATTAAGTCAATACCATAATAAGAAGGACTAATAAAACCAGCTTATTTTACGACCTACATTTAAAATAAAATTTATATATTAGTGACAAATGGGCTAACAATAAGATGACCAGGCGGTAGCACTAGGGTTTCCACCTGTACTTTAATATACAGTATCATACTATATTTCAGTCAATTGTCCTTTAAATAACAGAAAACTAATATAATACGAAAAATACTATATATTATACCTAATTGAACTGTCGCGCTTTTTCATATTAACTGTGATTGGAAGTCTGAAACAAGTAAGTTTTACAGAAATAATTATTTCCGTCATGAATGTAAAATTGAAAAAAGAAAAGGAGCATGCATTAATTTATTTTAAAAATTAATTGTTAATTTATTTTATCATGAATCTAAATTGCTCAGACTCCAATAATTATTATAAAGTTAAAGTAGAAGGTAAGGTGGTTAGATTATTGATGGCCAAAGCAAAGATCAATAACAAATATATATGGAAAAATACATAAAGATTAAATGCTTACTATTTTTTTCTCCTGATTTTCTCAAAAGTATTATATTTTTGCATCTTTTTTGGGAAAAATACTATATTTGCTCAAATACTATATTTTTTTTTGCTCAAAAAAAGGTTAAAGCCCTAGGTAGCACGCCTTATTCCCCTCAAAAATTCTTCTGGTAGGAACAACTCTCTTACCTATTTTTTCCCCCAAACAACAGTGTAAGCACTGTTGTGTTTGACCTGAAGATAAAGTAAGCCCGCATAATTACAGGTTGTGAGGCATTTCATATTATTTCTCAGAGATGAATAGCCTTCATTGTTTATAGTTGGTTGCAAGTGCCCATGGGCTGAGTCTATTTTTGTAAAAAGAATTGGTGTTTCAGCCTTTGGGTATTTATAACTAGTTATAAAGATTGGTAGAGCCACGCTGCAGCGATATTGTGGTTGTAGCACGAATGGGTCGGCTCGGCAGGTGTAGGACCACACTCTCACAGCATACCAGCATAAAAAAGCAACTTAATGCTGCTGAGATTTATGGCGAGTGTAGAGAACTGGAGACCCTTTTTACTAGAAACATGGCATTTCATCACAGTCCTCAGGGTGGGCAATGCATCTGCATTTTGCTTCTTAATTGAAGATAAATATAGACGTCTATGGGCCACAGCATCCACTTACCATCAGGTGGACTGTGTGCTCGCTTGTCAACCTTATCCTATATAAAAAAAATGGATTTGTGTATTGTCAACATTGACAACTAATATGGAATGTCTTTTAGCACTAAATAGTAGTGGACTAGAGAATCCATTACCCATACAGCCTATTAAAAGTCCACTGCTGCACTTAGGCCTCACCCATAGATTGCCTCAGGGGGGGATTTATGACATTGTAGCCACACCTGTTAGGCAGGTTGGCAAATGCAGTTTCATTCCAGTATAATATAAGTCAAACTCTACATACCTTGAGATTACTTAAAGTGAAATCCGGTGACCTTTTACGTGCCATTTTTTTCAAGTTGTCCCATTTGAATCGAAGTTGATCTGTACTTCTAGGAGCACTGGAAATTGATGCATTAAATGATTTGGTTAAGTTGGTCCAAGCTTCTTCTTTGAGCTTGTTGGTTGATGCGGTAATGCTTTTGTTAGTAATGATTGGATTAGCTTCTACCAAGTCCAGTAAAATAAAAACTTCTTCGTTTGTCATGGCAGTACGTTTTGACTGGAAATTTCAAATTAGTTACTTTTATTGATAGTAGAATTATAACAATAAATATCGATTTATTAAAGATTTGTTAGTTAGTACTCACTCCATTCATTATGACTGTTTATATAATTCATGAAACTCTGTTTTTTAATTAAAATACACTCGTTATCGTTAGCACTAAACTAAACAAAAACGCCAAATTGTCAATACAACGAAACGTCAATGTCAATACAATTATGTCATTCCCATGTCATTCCTCATATGAATTGTCACTCCTTTCTTTTCTATGCTCGAAGTTCCTTTCCCACCGAGAAGCTTCAAGGCGTTTTGGCGGGAACGTGGCCTTCAACGAATTGTCGCTCCTGTTTTTGTCGCTTGAATAATGGTTTGAAGTGGATTTTGATTCGAAAAATGATGCGATTTTGTGAATTAAGTGTCTGCGCGTGTGAACTATTAGAGATAACGACGAAACAAGTGCTTTAAAGTTGATATAAACCTCAAGTTAATTTGATCGTTTGGACGCCTTATGAACTTGAGTGGCTGTCGTCATCATCAGTCCACTGGGTTGAGGTGTCATCAAAATCTCCCAAAAACATCGCAATGTTAAGCATCAGCATATTGTGAAGAAAAAATATATAAAAAGCAGATTCTGAAAGAAATAATAGGCTCAGAAGGGCTAGAACCCAGAGCCATAAAGCCAGTAAATTAAAAAAAAGAGAAGCTTCAAGAAAATATGTGACAGGTGGAAAAAAAGAAAAGAAATGATAGACCAAAGACCGGACTTTGGCAGAATTATTGTGACCTATAACATAACCAAAATATCAAGGTATCACTGACCTCTAACATACAAGAAGGCGTCCACAGAACTAATAATAAAGATAGTACAGTGTATATGCAGGATTCAATTCATTTTCGTAAAATTTTAGTATACTTTCAGAGATTAAATAAATGTATCAATTAATACGTGTCTTATCGTTAATAAGATAAAGTGAGATCGAAAATTAAGCATTTATGAAGCCCTTTTAAAGATTTGGCTATATTTATCACAACCATTTTTGTTAGATACGGATCTACGAGTTTCTTGAACCGGGGCAAAAACTTGACAGTGGCGCCTCCTCTCTTTAGCATTTTAGATAATTTATTAAAAGAAGTCACAAATACATAATGGGTGGCATTTTTGTGATTGGGACAGTAAGAACCATTTAATAAATTTAAACTCTTTATTACCAATGAGCTAATAACTTTTTCATTTGTGTAACATAAAGTTATAAATATATAGAAAACATATAACCAGTAAAGAAAACACACAATCAAAATATTTAGGATCTTTAGGTCTTACTATCCTTTTCTCTCTAATCTTGCTACAGCTTTACATGGCATGCTTTCTTTTCTGCGAAAGAATCTATTAGCTTATCAAATTCTGTTTCTAGTTCAGTTTTATTTTCAATGGCTAGGATCGCGAGGCCAGATGGATGTTCCTGACTCATTCTTCAACGCAGATAGGTTTTAATTATTTGCAGTTTGCTGAAGCTTCGCTCATAGCTTGCATATGTCTTAGGTAATATGCAGTATATTCTTAAAGCCATACTAACATTAGAAAACGCTACTAGCAAGTGATGCTTGCACAGATGTTGTAATAGGACGAATGCATTTGATTTTTTATTAATTGCGGTTACTAGCCCTTTAAAAACGGCAAATTCCTGGCAAAAATCAACTGGATCTAACTCTTTCGAATATTTTTAAGCTCCATTTTTTCGCAGATCCTCAATCGACCTATTTTAAAACGCGTGACCTTTAAGGAGGACAAAATTGTCATGTAAACTCTTTGCGCTCTCTACCCTTGTTTTAATTTCTGTTAAAAATTTGTCAAACATTACTCTTATATCTTTGGAAAAAAAAAACTATTTGGATTTAGCGTTCTTGACTTATCCTCGCAGATTTCATCGTGTTGCCTTTTCTTTTTGGAAATTCGTTTGATTTTAAGGACAGGCTCGATTTCTAACTTTTCTAATACAAGTTCTTTGAACCAATGTTCTATTGATTTTTCTTTCATTCCTTGCAAGATCTTAACAAGACCTTGCATTATCGCCACAGAATACAAAATGATAATATCCTCTTTTTATATTTCAACGTTCACTCTATTAATTTCTCGAAGAATATTATCCAAAATGGTTGAGTTGAGGATACATTTAAAATCCATCACCGCATGTAGTGGATGACAAGCTTCATAGTTGATTCTGCGACTAGAGAAGATTTTTCAATTTCTTTGACAATTTCCGGTAAATTATTCAATAAAGCAGTAACAGCCTGATGTTTAGCCGTCCATCTGGTTGACTACTTCCTTTTAAGTTTGTGTATGTTCACTTTTGCACTATTTTCCACTGTGTGGTGGATCCAACAAAGAAACAATAAAGTTTAGTAAGGTCCAATGAGTAGGAAAAACTGGTCAAGGTAACTAATAAATAAAATATATTTTGTTAACAGTTAATTGTTAACCGTTCATTTAGTTCTCGTAATAGAAAACATCAATAAGCTACCAAAATATCATGCGTATTTTTAAAATATCAACAGGTAAAATTAGATTATTATTTAGAGAAAAAGTAATTAACTGCTTATTAGTCATAATTCTAGTATAGAGTCAGTTGAAAACCTGTAAATTAATTATCCGTCGTAAGCGAATTTCATTGTTGTAAGCCTTTGAGTATTCAACCAACTGGAGAGGCCATACGCGTTAATTCCTAAACAAAAATTCTGTCAACATCAGGAGGCGTAAGAAAAACACACAACTGTATACTTAACAACAAATGCAAAATTAAATCGTGTCACTATAAACGCACACTACAACATTTGTGTTTGTGTTCATCGCGTTTACGCATACCATCAAATTGTACACGTGTCGATACACTGATAGCGCTGGCTGAATGCGTAAGCAACGTAAGGCGTGGACTATGTCGATATTTTGTATCGATAAACAAATCGACAAGTCGCATAAGTTTTTATTTGATTATAAGTATACATAGATAAATAATACCAGGGTGTTATTTGAAATTCTTTTTTTAAAGTATTTAAAAATGATCTTCGGAAAAAAGCTTATAAATTATTGAAAGAAACTTTATTATTTTGCTACAGGTTTATTTTACATTATGCAAGATAAAACTTAAAATGTTTAACAAATCGAAATAGGAGGTTTAGTTAACTTATTTTCAAAATCAGATTTATGAAAAGAAAAATCCTATCAGTTTATCATCTGAGATGGTGTTAATCAAGTTTTTGTTTTTATTATAAGGCTTCAATCACAAAACCGCTATTTATAAAAAGTTGTTGATTTCGAAAAGTAATTAATAGAACTATCTGGAAAATATTTAATAAATTAGGAAAATAAAAAGTTTTACACTATATCACAGTTGAACAAAGTGAACTTTAAACAGACAGCTGCTTAAAAATAAAATGTGACATTTACTTAGGGCTAAGTATTCCTCAGAAATATGTTTTGCTAAACTGATGTACAATTGATTGGCTACACAAAAAAGCGTTAACTGTTTTAAAACTTAGACTAGAGAGTAACCCTGACAAGAAATTGTATTGTATATTAGTGATAGATGAAATGAAAATAAAACAATTGACGGAGTACTATGCAAGTTCTAAAAGACACTTTGGTTATATACATAATGCCTTTGGCTGCTAACATGGTATTCCGTCAATTGCTTAATTTCCATTTCATCCATGACAAAGATACAATATTTTTTTTATCAGAGTTACTCTCCGCTCTCGATTTTTATGCCGTCAGCGCTTCTTGAGTAAACCCTGGTCGGCGATCGATGGTAGTGTATCACTTAGTCAACGTCTGTGGTGCAGGCAAACATGTTCCAAAAGTTTTACGTACATAGCGATAGGCTTTTAGTGAGTAATAGTTAAATGTTAGGGCAAAGTATTTCTTGAAAACTTATGAAACCTGTTTATGCTATTGTTTTTTATGTCAAGGCATTTTTTTCAGTTTAATTTTCCTTGGCCTAAGTGATGGCTCGTACTCGCAGTGAGAGTAGGACTATATATATATATATATATACATATATATATATATATATATATATATATATATATACTAAGTATATGAATTACATTTTATAGATTAATGCTTTTGTAAACTTAATAAATACTGCTAAATTAATACTGCTCGTATTAAAGAAGCGATCGAGCGGAACCAGGGCTCCAAAGTCTTGCCAGAGATCTGTCTGCCAGAAAGAGCCAACTGTCAAAGCTGAAGACTGAGTGTGGCAGCATCGTTTCCGGGACACCTGAGATTTTGAGTGAGATTGAGAGGTTCTATGAGCAGCTGTACACATCATCGTTGGAGCCACACGCAAGTGTGAGTAACGATACAAGAGCAAGTCTTACCCGACACTATTCCGATGATATCCCGGACGTCAGTCTGAGCGAGATTAGAATGGCTCTCCAGCACCTTAAAAACGGCAAGTCCCCGGGCGAGGATGGAATTACAGCGGAGCTTCTGAAAGCGGGTGGAACACCGGTACTTGAAGTCCTTCAGAAGCTCTTCAATTCCGTCCTCCATGGTGGCACTACTCCGGAGGCGTGGAGCAGAATTGCGGTGGTCTTGTTCTTTAAGAAAGGCGACAACGCTCTCTTGAAGAACTACAGACCGATTTCCCTTCTGAGCCGCGTCTACGTGCTGTTTACGAGAGTCATTACGAATCGTCTCGCACGCAGACTCGACGACTTCCAGCCTCCGAACAAGCCGGTTTCCGAAAAGGCTTCAGTACCATAGACCACATACATACCCTATGAGAAAGCCTTTGATTCCGCCGAAATTTGGGCGGTGCTAAAGTCCCTTCAGCGGTGCCAAGTTGACTGTCGGTATATCGAAGTGCTGAAGTGTTTGTACAGTAGGGCTACGATGGCTATCCGAGTACAGAACCAGAGTTCGAAACCTATCCAACTGCAGAGAGGTGTAAGACAGGGTGACGTTATATCCCCGAAACTCTTCACCGCTGCGTTGGAAGACGTTTTCAAGCTACTGGACTGGAAAGAATACGGTATTAACATCAATGGCGAGTACATCACTCACCTTCGATTTGCCGAAGATATAGTCCTTAT